AGAGTCGGGGTGGGAACAGGCTGGAAATTGCTTCCACCACTCCCAGCCCCCGCCACTCCAGAGCTTAGCTGAGGGGCAGAGAGGCTTCCCCATGCCACTCTGTGGGGGGCTTTGGCACATGCCGGAGAGTCTTGGGTTTTCGGGGAAGAAAGGAGCCTGCCAGCCAGGCTGTTGGTGAGCTGAGTGTTCCGACCAGGGGCTGGTTCTCTGTACAGAGCTGGGAGCGGGACGTGCCCCACCGGGGGGGGATATGGAGGAGCTGGGGGGGGGACGGACGGGTGATGGTGAAGGGGCAAAGCAGGGAGAGGACAGCGAGAGGGGGAGCATGTTAAAGGGCCTATGGGAGGGCAGCAGAGGCGACATGTAACCGGCCACTGCGTGGCGCCTGTCCGCGCACACCAGCCATTGCAGTTCGCAGCCAGTGCGGTCCGGAAACGGGACGGGGGCGGGCTCTTGCTGGCCGAGAGCCGGCACGTAGTGGGGGCTGCACTGATGGACAAGCAGGGGCAGTGACTGGCCCTGTTGGCTGCAGCTTTGCCTTGCATACCCACCCCCATCGTCGGTCACTGGAGCTCGCCACTCACTGCTGGTGGGTGGGTGGCTTGCAAAAAGGGATCCGGCCGGCAGCAGGACCCGTCAGTATTGACAGTTCGCCCGTTTTTAAGAAAAAGTCAGGACACCTGCAGGAGGGCTGAAATACGGGACCGTCCCTCTAAAAACAGGACGTCTGGTCACCCAATCTTTATTGGACTTAAACAGAACAGAAACACAAATAAGGTGCTTTGCACATTCTTGTCTTTTTTGTTGTTTCTTGTGCTTTTTTGGTTGCCTGTCTTTTTTTTCTTTTTTCTTTTTAAAGATGTGCTAGCTAGTAAGTCTGCTGCTGTGAAAAGTGATACTTGTATGTTTAATGTCATTTTTCACAGCAGACTTATAAAGCTGGGGCAAGCCTGGGGACAGATTAGGCCATGGATGGGGAGGTGGTTAGGGAGGCAGCAAGGGCAATGGGGGAAATGGATGAGGGGCTGGGGGATGCAGGGGGGGCGGGGCAGTGGGGTGTAAGCCTGGGACCAGAGTCCACCGCTGTGCAGCTGGGGGCCGGGGCCAGGGCCCAAGCCCACCACTGGGGGATGGAGCCTGCTGCTGCATGGCCGAGGTCCGGGGCTGGAGGAGGCAGCGGGCGTCAGGAGCGATGCAGAATGGTGGTGGTAAGTCCACGGCCAGAGCCTGGGTCTGGAGCCCACCACTGCACTGCTGGGAATCAAGGCTAGATCCCAAACCCCCATGGCCAGGGGGCGGAACCTGCCGCCATATGGCCAAAGCCCAGGACCAGAGGTAGCAGCGGCAGCTGGGATTAGGGAGGCAGAATTTGCAAGGAGCTGGGGTTGGCAACAGGGCTTCTTACTGAGTCATTGACTGTGCTGCCCAGTTCCCAAGTCCCAGCCCATCTTCCCTGTTTCTTGGACCTCTCCTCCTACTCCTTACTCATTTCCACAATTAGTTCTGTTTTTATTAATGATACTATTAATAACAATAAAAGAGAAAAAAGAAACAGAAACTGTTAAAAATAAAGTACAATGTGTAAGACCTTCACTGTGGAGTGGAGTTTGGGACTTGGAGAAATGGGAAGGGGTCCATAGAACGAGGCTGCTGGTTTAGGCTCTGGGACCAGACAACCAGGCTTAGCAGGAAGGCTGGATACCATGGGCCTCTGCCACCCATCTCAGCTGTGTAGTATGACTCTGTAGCTCCTCCCGTTAATGCCTACTTTGTCTGTCCATATACTCTCAACCTTTAAACTCTGATAATTATCAATAATAGAAAATGTCACCCTTTTTAAATGACATGGGAAATGGGAGTCAGGGAACATCAAGAGGAGACCTTAAGGGGAGGAATGGAAGAGAAGAGCTTGTGACCATGAACATGGAGAAGGAGCAAGAGTCCACAGGGCAAGGAGACTTCAAGGGTTGGTGAGGTATGGAAGTGAACATGGGATAGTGTGTAGTAGGGGATATAATAATCTAGGAGGTAGAGATATGGGCTACAGGAGATAAGCAGGATCCCAGAAATCGGCCACCTCTGTCCAGGAAACTGGACGTTAGTCATGTCATGAGAGATCAGACTGTATAAAGTAGTGACATTTTTATGTGTAGAAAAACTATTTTAAATAAATTTGTATAGGCTTTAAAAGAAGTTTTTGTCTTCACAAGTGTGTGCGTTTGGACTTTTGCAAATAATGTGACTTTGCAGATGGAGGGAAACAGTAATTTAAAAAAAGAGAAATCAATTTTTAAAATAACTTTCTAATTTTTTGTTAATATGTGGCGCATGGTGTACAGAATACATGATAGTGTTGGGTGGTATAAAGATTTTATTAGCACTTGGTGTCGTCTACTTAACCCATTGACTTAATCACTGATGAATAAAGTGGTCATTGTGACTCATGCCAAAAAATACTCTTCATACCATACCAAGTCATGTATGTGTAATATAGTATACATTTTTATATTACAATCATTTTATAATATATATAAAATGAAATGTGTTGTAGGCAGACAGTCCTATTTTGTAGGGCCCCGGTTTGCAGCTTAGAGCTAGTTGTCAGAAAAGATTGATTGTTGGTGTTGTAATGAGCTCATTTCTATTGTTTTATTGCCTGTTATCACTTAACAGTTGTATAAGCAATCTGTGATTTGTGGATTTTATCAAACAAGATGATAAAAAATAACAGGAGTTGGTGCAGACAGATTACCTATTATGAAATCAGGGCGTGAATATCTCATCTGCTGACATTTCTCAGGCAATTCAGTGTTTTGTTGTTTGTGGTCTTTGATGTCGTAAAATTAACACGCACTTGAATGCTTTTTGTAGTGAGCCTTTAACTTTGCAGGCAGATGTTGCTACAGCAACAAAATAAAGCAGGATACTATAAAAGTTAAATGCACTCTTATTGATTCATTCCCACCCAAGTGGAGGGTATTTTGGATTCTTATATTGCATTGAAATTGGTCTGATGAGGCAAACCAGCTCTAATTTAGTAACACAAATTTAGCTGCTTTTAGTCATATCTGCTATCGTATATGGGTGCTTGTACTATTTTTGGCTTTTTATTACTTTCTCACAGTATCGTTTTTGTTCCTTTTTAAAATACTGCATGCTAATGAGTGTTGGTTCATAAGCAGCATGCATGTGGTTCAAGTTTAGTGAGATGTTTACACTTGGAGAAATCCACATGTGATAGAGGTTAGGTGTTACAACTTGACCCAGTACCTCTCTGAACTGATGCTACCCTGTTGTGAGGGGACTTAATTGCTGGGTCCCATGTGCTTCAAAACCAACTGGGTCTGGGCAGAGTCTAACAACTCTTTCTAGCTCTCTGTCTGTAAGGCACATTCCCAGGCTTAGATCTTGTGCCTGGCCTTTCCTTGGGGGATGGGACTCTGCAGTCCAGCTACCCGACCCCCTGAAACCAGTGCTTCAGAGCCCCCCACTTACACATGCTGCTCCTAGGCTGAGGGCTCGCTGGGCTTCTGTTTTAACCCAGGCAGTACCTGGTAACAAAGCAAGGAATATAGGTTTAGCAGTGGAATTTCTTATCCAGAGTGACTATTCTTAAAAGCTCTTGAGTAACAGATCTTCGAAAACAACAAAGCCTGGCAATGCACCCTATCCTGGTCTGATCTGGCCTCATCTGGGACTGGGAGTCCAGGGTTTGTCTGTGTTCAGACTGGGTGGAGTCCCTCTCGTTCTCTGTCTGTCTCTCTCTCTCCTGTAAATGCTCCTCAGAATAGAATAGCATTTCTGTCTCCTTACCATGTGCTGTATTGCAGCAGTTCTCAAACTGTGGGTTGGGACCCCAAAATTGGTCACGACCCTGTTTTAATGGGGTCACCAGGGGTGGTGTTAGACTTGCTGGGTCCCAGGGCCAAAGCCCAAGCCCCACCGCCTGGGGCTGAAGCCAAAGCCCAAGGGCTTCAGCCCTGGGTGACGGGACTCAGGTTTGGCCCGCCTCACCTGGGGCAGTGGGGCTGAGGCTTCGGCCCCCCCTCCTGGGTTGTGTAGTAGTTTTCATTGTCAGAACAGGGGTTGCGATGCAATGAAGTTTGAGAACCCCTGGCTCTATTGGAAGACTCCAGCCTCCCTCCCCTAGTCATGCTCATGCCCCTGTGTAGAAAAACCATTGTTCATTTGAGGGTGGGAGACAGCAGTTGAGACACAATCCAATCCAGTGGCTCCAGATTGCTGATAGCTTCTCAGCATAGTCCTTCAATAAGATGTCAAATACCTTTCCTGGGCTGGGCTGCTGTATAGAATGCAATTCCTTGGGCTTGTCTGAGGCAAGATTAGACATGTGTTGAACACTCAATACAAAATAGAGTTTATAATCTTGATACAAATGTGTCACACTAGGCTGATATCTTTTATTCTGAATGAGCCTTGGTTTATAGTATTTTTTTTCTATTTAGTTACATTTGCCAAATAATTTAAATTAATTTAAGTATCCTAATGCTACTGATCCTTCCGTTACTTATGCCAGTCTAATTCCATTTACTTCAAAGGAATTTGGATAAATAGGGAAATGTCATGAATTGAGGTATAGAGTTCTCAGCTTTAAGGGTAAAATGCATAACTGAGTTGGTGTAGTTACTCTAAAAGCAAGTATTATAATTCCAGGAACTTTATGTACTCTCAACCTTAACTCAGTTTTAGCATAGGTTTTGTCTGGGAATAGAAAAGAAAATGTGAACAAAATAAATAAGAATTCTTCAGTGTCACAAAAGGAATTTCTAATGTTAATAAACCAATGACAAACTTCTTATGCCACCAGTTGTGATTTCTTGAAGTAGTATGTTAAAACACAAGTGTTAATTGTGGGCGCCTCTAGAATTATGGGGCTAATACTCTTGAGTATGTAAATCTACTAGTTGTGAGAGGTTGCCTTTATATATTGAGCATTCTTGACCTTTTTGACTGATTTCAGTGTTTTCATGGCATTTCAGAGCTTCAGACAACAAAGAGGAAATGTCATCTTCTAGTAGCCAGTTGCTTGATCATCAACACATCAAAAAAAGAAGAAAAGACAGGACAAGGCTGAGATCTCCATCTGTAACTATCATGAGCACATCTGCCCGAACAAGGCCACTTCAGAGTTTCCAGAAGAGGAAACTATACAGAATGAGCAGTGCATGTTACTGGAGTCAACAGGTAGAGCTGTCTCCTCTCCTTTAGAAGACAAAAGCAAAGATTCCAGCTGGCAGTGTCTGCATGTGTCAGTCTGCTATAATGGTATATTACATGCTGCTGTTTTGATTGTTCAGTACATTCAGACAGCGTGCAGTACATGTGACAGGAGTTTAGCTGTGTCAGCAGGAGTTCACAGTTAAGGAGTTGAATTTAAAAATTGCTCAGAATCCTGCTTTATCAAATTCATGCATTTGTTTTACAGTTACCTTTAAATTCATTTTACAGTCGGGGGTGGGGTGATTTAATGATTTTTTTAAGGAGACTTTACTGCTGAGAAAACAAGCTACAACATAAATCTGCTAGCTGTTTGCTTTTAGAGCATTTGTTTAACTAAAGAAAGTTTACACAGCTGGTAGTGCATTATTGTGTGGGAAATTAAACTGCTATATCTTAATCTTGTTTCCGTTTTTGCCATTCCCAACCAGCTCTGCTCGCTTCTTCATAGCATTAGTAGTGCCTTAAAACTGTCTGTTATAAATTAAGATTTTGTCCATTACAAAGAAACTGAATTGAATTAAATGCTTAATGTGGAAAAATCTATTTTAGACTGCTACTTGTGTAAGACAAATGCTGTTTGTAGGCATGTCCACTATACCAAGAATACACTGAGATTCCAAATGTTATGAATACTGAGTGAGTTTGCCACTTGCTCCTAAAGGGCTGAATTACCTGCTGTTTTCCAAATTAGTTGTAAGGTCGTTATTAAAGCAGCATTAATCCCAAGGGATTTTGATGCTTTGCACGACCTTCCTATACCTTTTGGAAACTGTATTGTAGTGGTGCTTTTGCATCACAATAACACAGCCTGTTAGCGTTTCCATTCTAAAGTTGGATTGGCATTATAGGCGAGCAGGGCATTAGTGAACTAGGATTTTGGAAGGTACAATTTTGCTTTCCCACTAGTTTTTTGTGTGTACATATGTTTATACTAACTTGAAATTTGTTTTGATTTTTAATTGATTCCAGTAGTATGTCATCTTTAATCCCACAAATCAAATCTAATGAGAGCCTCTGAAAATAGGAAATACAATGGATATGTGAAAATTATAGCGGCAGTACTCACAACCCCTTAGGGGAAAGCATAATAAACGCTGTGGGTGAAATCTTGACCTCATTGAAGTCAATGGCAAAGTTCCCTTTGATATCCGCGAGCCAGGATTTGACCATATGAATAGATAAGCAAGATTTTTGAATCTGAATATGATCAGATATTCACAGACAGTGTGGTTAGGCCATTGCCAATAAGAAGCAAGATTTCAAGTTTATTATACGGTATATTCTCCTTAGATTAAGAAAAAGATCTCCACCTCTCTGCAGCAAAAAGGGCCAGATTTACAAAGGCATTTAGTAGAACTGGTGAGAAATTCTCTGGCAGAATATTTTTCCATAGGAGAATGCTGACTCATTGAAATAAAAATGTTTTGCGGAGGTGGCTTGATTTTAACAAAAGTCTGATGGAAAGTAGGCAGGTTTCTCTCTGAAACCTTTCTGGTTTCCTACCAGCTTGCTCATTCAGCTTCTTGGCAGCCTGGTTTTCCAGACTTCCTGCAGTTTGGCAGCCCGCCTGGAGGATCGCTTGGAACTGAGAGTCTGCAAGCTCTGGGAGCTCTAGCTCGTAAGCTACCATGCCTCTCAGCTTCTCTGTGGTTCAGCTGGCATGCTGGCATTGAGAAAGACTTCTACATTCCCAGCTTCTCTGCAGCTTGCCTGGTGGGCTGCTGCAGAACTGCCTCCAGGCTCCTGTCTCCCCTTCAGCCCATTGGGCACTTTGAGCTTGGGAGCCAGCATTCTAAGACTCCTCGCTCAGCTGGGACTCCCAGGATCCGCGGCTCTGGTGCAACCAGTCAGGTGGACTGCCGTGAAGTCAGGGATCTAAGGGCTTTTCCAAATAGGAACAAAACTAAATTTTGAAATATCAAAATCCTCCATGAAATCAAATGACCTTCCTCTGCATATATCTAGAGTTTAAGCCTAATGATCCCAAGATCGGTGCCTAGTGGGATTTTCGTAAGTGCCATTTGTACCTTTAGGTACCTAAATACCTTTGAAAATGTGGCCCAAAGTCACTACAGTTCTGACCAAAGAGGGGAAAAACCCATAGAAAACAGTAATACAAGTAGGTGTGTGTGAACAGAGAAGTAGAGACCTAACGCTTCAGCTGCAGGTCACTACTGCAGGACCAGAGCATGGGCCCACTAGGGGGTGGAAGACAAATGTGACTCTACCTCACCTTTTCTCTTTCTTGGATTGTGGGACTGGTTGGGGATGAAGATGGTCCTGGTTGCATGTTAGTCTGTCAGACTAGGATTTAAAGGTGTGGTGTTAGGAGTTAGCTACCATCTTCTACAGATCTAGCATAGACTTCAACAGGTGCTACATACTAAGACAGTTGAGTAAAAGACCCTCCGCCACCCCCCCCCACCCCCATCCCTGCCACCCTTGGCTTTAACTTAGCCAGTTCATTATGTGTTAAAGGCAGTATGCCTTGTCTACTGGGATTTTTCAAATATGTTATTTAGCGCATTACATAACACCTTAAATCTTAATCTGGACAAGCCCAGATTGACCACTGTAGTTTGCACCTGATTGTAATGGCTCCCTAGGAACCATTATGCTGGTGAGGATTGATGGAATGCCATGTGCTTTGGCAGTCCCCCCACCCCCTGTGCAAGAAACCACCTATACCTACCTATACATCTATAGGGAGGGGCCAAGAGCTGGCTGTGCAGGCTTTACACCAGCTGAAGGTTTCCCTCGCCTCCTAGGAATCCTTGTGTACTCATTTAGGATGGCTTTAAGGTTCCTTTATGTCACTTCTGCAGCCCAAAGGGACCTTAACATGGGCCAGAATCTGGCCACTTCTGGATCTCTGGATTCAGTTCCTAGTCGCCTTTTCAAAGTCCAGTTTTTAGATTAATTTAAATTTTAGCAGTGGGCTTTTATAGATGGAAAAATGATTTGTTCATTTCTGAATCTTTTGCTTGGATGGTGTTCGCTTAGTGTTTTGCAAAGGAGGTGCCTAGAGTCTGGGTAGCCCAAGCAGTTGATAATAGGATACGGAGATAGGATCCAAGTCCCAGGGGACAGGTGTCATTATCACTATTGCACTAACTGGAAATCTTAGTAGAGGAACCAAGGGTTACATGTGCCCAGAAGACTGCACTGAACTTTTGCATCTAGAGCAGTTCTCTCTAACTTGTGGAGAAAAAATAAATAAAAAAAAGATGTAGTGCTCCTGTGCTGTCAATCTAGGGCCTTTCACAAACGTCAAATTTATTTAAAATGTTAAAAATTAAGGAGAAAGAAAGAAAACGCTAGGCACATAATGCCTCTGTTGGAAAGGAGGGGAAAGAAATCTTGCCAAGGAAATAAGTGACAAAATCAGACTGGGCATTTTAAACATGTTCTGACAACTTAAATTAAATAGATATCAAGTCCTTGAATTAAGAGTTGTCATCAGTGTATCACTTCCTTCAAGAAATCTTATTCTTTCCGTGGCCTAGCAGCCTTTCGGTCACTTTCTCTTCGTCTTAGTCGCTACGGTTGGTTACCCGGCCATTGATGAGATTGTTCAGCTTGAAATAGAAAAGCAGAGTATCAGTCCAGGCTGATTGTTAGATTAGGCAGAATTTCTAAGGATGAGGCTGCAAAATGGGCACTGGCCCTTGAGATTGACAGTTATCTTGTCAGAGAATGCAACTATCAGTTTGTCAATAGAGAGCTCAGCAAATTTGCTTGATCTCGGACAGAGAAAGATAGATTTCACTTTAAAGGGATATATGAAGTTTCATGCTGGATTCTTAATTCAACTTAATAATGTGATACGGGGCTCTCTAGCAAGAAATGACCATATCCTCTTTATTTTGGGTACTTATATGGCCTCTGTTACCATAGTATCTGAGCACCTCACAATCTTTAATGTATTCAGCCTGACAACATCCCTGTGAGGTAGGGAAGTACTGTCTCTCTCATTTTACAGATGGGGGACTGAGGTACACAGAGATTAAGTGATTTGCCAGAGATCACAAAAGTCTGTGAAGGTTCAGGGAACCGAACCTGGGTCCCAAGCTAGCACCCTAACCACTGGCCTGTCTTCCTCCTGAGAAGTAAAACAGCGTTTCCTCCCTTTTTCTCCTTCCAGTTTTTTACTGGCTCATTTTAATAACCTTCTCCAGGATGCCATTGCCCCAGAATGGTGGTGGATGAGGTAATGCAGTGGCGTAGTTTGACTGAGACAATTTAAAGGTGACTACATTGTCTGAAGTATCCTTCTAGCTAGATTTGAGATTGTCTTTTCAGATAACTAATTACAGTAGATTCCACCTATTAGCAACCTTTTGGTTCCCAGCAAAAAAGTTACTATTATCTGAGAGCTGCCAATAAGCAAAAGGCATATTTGTGGGGCTGGAGCCAGGGAAGAAAGCGCTGGGACATGTCCCACAAACCTTCCTGCGGTTGGTGCTTGGCACATCCCAGGGTTAACCTTCCCGTGTGGCCACAGCTAGGGAAGGAAGTGCTGGGATGCGCCGAACCCGGGTCCCTGGTGTCAGGGCAGGGCGTAGCCTGAAGCACGCAGGGAGAAGTACTGTGCGGCTCCGTGGGCCCGCAGTACCTCGCTCCTCATGGGAAGCCCCAGCATCCAGGCTGCAGCTCCCTCCTTGTTGCTGCTCTGCCCGTAGCCTCCCCTTCCAACCTCATCTTCCAGACCACAGCACCGGGACTTGGGCAGAAGCTCCCCTGTTGGGCAGGGATGTGGGTGCCACACCCACCTGTGTGGGCAGCAGGTCCCAGGCCACTTGCAGGTTTGCGGGGCTGTAGATAGAAGGAAGCACTGGGATGTGCTGAGCACTGGCTGCAGGCAGGTTTGCGGGGCTGCAGCCAAGAAAGGCAGTGCTTCCTTCAGGGCTGCAGCTCTGTAAACCTGCTTGTGGCTGGGGCCTATCTTCCAAAACGTTGCTAAG